CTTGTCAAAACCCAGTCTGGTTCAAGGAGATGTTTTTATTCACACATCCAGTAGTTTTATAGAAGGTTGCTGATAAAGTACATTATCATTTATATGGAACCCACTTCCCAGCCTCTATGTTTTGCTCACTTGCAAATGAGGTGTGAATTTAGGAGTTTATGTTGTTAAAGGGAAGCAGGGAGGGTCGGTGTATTTGTTTTTCATTATCATTCATCTCAGCTTTGAGGGGTTTTTTTTCCCTCTCTCTTCATCTCATTTTGAACAAACAAATAAGGACACGTCCTGCAGCGGCGACTAATCCTGTTACAGCTCCAGCTCCCTGCCTCGGTTCCATTATTCCTTCCCACTGTAGCAGAACTGGCTGAGTCAGCCCCAACCACCGACTGTATTCAGTGTCAGGACGCAGAAAGAACACACAATCAGCTGGATTTTTATCAGTGGATCTCTGAGGTCTAAGACATGGAAATTCAAACACTGGAGGGCCACTAGAGAACTGCTTTAGACTGCTTACAGTAACTGACAAATAATTTATAAAAAAAAAAAAGTTAAAACCCAGACAGATTTGAAAAAAGGTTCAGGTGCTGGGGTCGAGTGTGTCATCTGTTGTTCTAACCATAATGGTATGTTCTAAACAAAGCAGATTTTTCTATTCCAAAAGAAAGAAAGAAACACTCTTACAAACATGAAACTGTTAAAATATGACATATTATAAGAAAATAATTTATATAAGTGCAAAATATTAAAAATGGTTTAAAAACTCTGTAGACATACTGTATGTGTATGTATGTATATATGTGTATATGGGTAAATATACATATATATGGTATTTAGGTAAATGTAGGTATGTCTATGTATTATGGTATGGATGGATGGATGGATGGATGAATGGATGATGGATGGATGAATGGAGGATAGATGATGGATGAATGGATGGATAATGATGGATGGATGTTCCCAAATAGTCGTCTCCTTATGTTTTAAGCTAAACTTGTTTTCTCAGGGGTTACAAACATATTCCATAAAGTGTAAAGTTATAACAACGTAAACCAACATGACTGTGAGTCAGTGAGGGGAGGGGTTCAAGGTCAATCAGGTTCCCTGTCTAACCACACAGAGACACTACTATTGTGACGATCCATTTAGCTGCTACCGAGACGTCTGCTGTGCACCCAACACTGAACACAGCACTTCTTTAATAGAGCAAATTTCCATCTCAAAGCAAAACTTTGATAAAGTGCAAGTCAGCTCTCCTGAGCATTGGAAAATTCATTTGGAAAGCAAAAGATGAGAAAACAGACTGAATAAACCATTAAAGAGGCATTAGGGGAGTTTTCTTAGCGAAGAGAAAAAAAAAAGAACTGAAAATAGATGCTGTATCACCGGCCAACACTGGCAACAGTAAGTGAACTGTTTTCCTCATTAATCAAACCTAAGTCTGTTCCTCTCTCAGTCGGCTGCAGGAAATTACAGATATATTTCATACGACCATTACCACAATTAAACTTATCCACACTCATCAGCAACCCAACATGACACCAAGTCACTGGTCTCAGAGTTATTAAAACAAACCTTGTGACCTGACGGACTTACTGTAAGTGATATTATTACATGTGGTGAGGACAGTGGGACGTTTAACAAATGTTTCCTGTAAGAGCAAAAAAAAACAAAGTCTGGAGCAGCACAAAACCAGGTTCACATAGTTCTGAGCAGCAATTATACATTTACACAACAACAACACATCACAACAATTCAAGTCTTACTGTTAATGTAAGTAGTTGTTTGTCTGTAGTTTGCCCCGCAATGACCTGCTGATCTAGAAAACAACAAATCTTTGTCAATCGTCTACTTTGGTCTGGCTCTGCTGCTGTGGACAGGACTGAGATGGAGAAGATGATGAAAAGAAGACTTCAGATGGAATATGTACAGTGGTTCTTGCTGTTGCCTCACAGCAAGAAGGTCACTGAACAACATCCATGGAGAACTCCCAGTGTATACACACATACACACACACACCAGATACTCATCAAAGTGTCATAACAGTAGGAACCATGTACCTTTTACAACCAGAATTAAACAGGAGTTTAGGTACAGTTTTTTAGCTCCAAGAGCGTTCCTGTAAGCAACACCTGAGGCTACTACCTTTTTGTTATTATTCAGATAACCTACCACACTTTAATGTAATGCCATGTTTTCTTTGAAAAATAAATCATTCTTGGTATCAACAAAAGAGCTTGGAGTTGTGTGGACAGTGTTTCCCTCACCTCAGGTCCTGAGAGCTGCTCCTCCACTGTGTCTCCTTGACCTGAAGTCGTTTCTGGTGAGTTCTCGTCCGCAGATGTCTGTAAATCACCCTTAATTTGACAACAGACACAGAGGTGGGTTCCTTTCTGTCAGTGCCCTACAGTATGTAAAGTCTACACCAAACCCATTATCCCGCTCACCTTGCAGTAGCCGACGACCTGTTCTGCGATGCTGTTGATGTGCAGTAAATACTGGTGCAGCCTCCGCTGGTACCTGAGAGCAGCCAGCTGAGCCTCGTTCTGCAGAGCAGACACCTGGGCCAGTAAGAACTGCTCCCTCCTGTTCCACCTGAGCCTCGCCATGCGGGCTTCATGCTCCAGAGTTGCGCTCCTTTCCTCCAGCCTGTCCGCTACGGTGCGGAGGGCGTCCACGCAGCAGTGCTGCTCCTTCTCACAGGAGTCGTCAGCGGACAGCAGGAGCCCACAGCCCATCTGACAAACACCATGACCGGCGTCTGCGTCCGCTAACGACGCCATCGTCAACTCTCCTGCGCTTCCTGCAACTTTTTCCACGCAAGAGGTTGCGCAGTCAGTGCGCATAGTCAGCGCAAACGGCGAGCGCAGGAGGCTGAGAAAGTTTGGCCAAAGTTTTTCAACAAGTCTGACTGAGTGTGTGGCAGTCACTCAGTTAGACAGACAGACAGAGAGAGAGGGCGGTCTGCGCAGGTCAGGCTGAACTGAGAGGCTGCGCCACTCTGCAGTCCTTCCTCCCACACTACAATAAAATAAACAGACAAATATTAGATTTAAACAACGGTGGGCGTTGTTTTATTTTTTGTTTATTTTATGTTCATATATTTGTTTGTTTTTACCTGCCTGAAAAATTGAACTTTTGTTTGCTCATTTACGTGAGCACCGATACCTGTGACTCACTCTTATACTTACCATCGGCAAATTACACAGCAGAGGAAAAGGTGGCTTTATTTATTTATTGTTTGTTTCTTTTTTGTATTCCAAACTCGTGTTGTGTACATATTTTGTAAATATTAACGGAGACAAACTGTGTGAACCAGGTGATATTGTTACACCAATCAGCTTACAGTATATATGGCCGCCAAAGGGATAGCAGTTATTCCAATTAAATAATTATACAATACAAATGAAGTGGATGTGATAGAAAAAGTGACATCTCCTGCCTTAGATGTGATAGAAAAAGTGACATCTCCTGTGACATCTCTCTTTTACACAATGATGCTCAACATCTGGTTGTATATTTAAATAGAACTGATAGTTTTGAACCACATTAAATTATATAAGTGTAAACCACACACCTGTTGGTTGACATTAAAGCCAATTTATGCACAATTAATGTCCAAATTTAATTCAGATTGATGCCCCACTACTTGCCACATAAATAAATAAAACATTTACATTAAGTGTCAATATTCAATGTTGTTATAAAAGGGGCGGGGTCACCCTTTCCAGTGGCCTTTCTTACTCACAGAAATGGTTTACTTTCTTGTTCATACACAAACATTTGAAAACATTATTTTTTTTAAATAAATTAATATTGAAGTCTACAAATGACCGTGTTTTTCTGTACGTAAGTAAAGACCGTCTCAAATCACAGTGCTCTGTCTTAAGTCAAAGCTCGACAGTAATCCAATATCTGCATTCGTACCATCACTTATAAAGCTTTTTGCTCGGGACCAGGGCACAGGATCACCGCTTGACACATCATAACATATTGCAGGTCTCTCAGAGTGGGGTCACATTTCAGATCTGGCTGTACTCTCCACTGAACCTCTTTAAAGTGTGTTTTGTGTTGTCTGAGCTGTCACAGAGCAGGTGTAGGTTTACCAAACCAACGTGACATTCTGCACACCTGTCTGTTAAAACACATGTGACACGGAGGTCAGATGTGTTTCTTTTGTCCATCCATCACTGACAATGAAATCTAAGCTCCTGGATGTTTACATCGTCTGATGTGAAGAATATCAACATGGTTAAGTACAAAGGGCTAAACTTTAAAAATCAACAACTCTAAGGTTCCATTTGTGACTTGGTGTGATTCACGTTGTTACACAGGTTGTAAAATATTGTGAGTATGTATTGGTTACACATTGTGTGACACACAGCCACCTGGAAACAGAGCGACTGTATCTCAGAGAACATATGTTTGCACTGATAAAACGCATGAGTAAAGATAGAGAAAAAATATGGCAGGAGGTATAAACAAAGTAATGGTTTTCTTTTGTGTCAATACGGTGAAGAGTAATGTGAGCAATGAAAATGCTCAATAAGAAGAATGAAAAGTTTTATTTGGTCACAGCTAATCCAAGAGGTGAAGGGATATCAATCTACCTTTCGTCTGCTGAGTACTGGAGCGAAGACGGGACTCCAACAGCTGTTTCTGCCTGAAAACCTAGACGGAGTCGGCCTTATCTGTAAAGGACGGGTTGAAACACTACCTCTGATACATTTGGCAGCGAGTTTGGAGAAGAAAAGCTTTCTGCTGCAGAACCAGGGGAAGAAAATCTACTCATAAATTGAAGGGTTTCTGCGAATACTTGACTTCATTATCAAAGGAGACCATTAATCATTCATGGTGCTCTAACTTTTTCCTCTATGATATGTGAGAGGTGAAACTATACTGTGACTATTTCACTGCTCTGAACTTTCAGTCATGAATAAGATGTCACCAAGTGACCCCTGTCCCCCACCGCCCGATTCTCTGCTTCAAAACCCCATCAAATACTCTTTTGGAAACAAATGAAAATACAAAAATTAAATTCAGAACTGCACCTTCAGACATATACACCCAGGATAGGTGTTGGAGTTGGAGGTTCATTTTAGTCTGTGCCTCTTCTGGTTACCCCGGACCCCAGGAGGGTTCAGAAGGTTCTGGATCTGCCCCACACTCCTGCCCCCATCCCTTGTTTTAAATCATGAAAGTTACTTTTAAAGTTCAGTTTCTTAAAGTCAACATAACCAGGACTCTTCAGATTTCAGAAGATGAAAAATAACCCATAGTCATGGCAAAACTTCAAATGTACCTCACAGTCAGGGTTTGTCCCATCTTATCTTATATTTTATCTTAAAACTAATTGTATTATTTGTTCATTCAATTACCTCATAACTCCCTTATTAAATTAACGGTCATGGCGGAAAAGTGAACTTGTTCCATAAGAAGCAAAAGGCAGAATAGATCCAGGGAGACGGCCAGTCCTTCATGAAATCATATACTGTAACACATGAACTAAAACCAACAATATATAAGTGTGTTCAAGCTGGGGCATAAACTTCATATTTTATGACATTTTATAATCATTGCGCTTTGGGAAATTTGATATTTGTTGGTTGTTCGTTAACTGAAGAACCCTCGTAGTCCAGTAAATAAAAATCAGATGAGGTGTCTGTCTCAGAAAAGTCACTCAGAAACAGAGAAAGGTGATAGAACACACAACAGAGTAATAGTTAACTACACCTTTATTGTTCCTTAGCCAGCCAATTCACATCCAGCCCTCACATGTATAATTGACATCCAGCATAGCACTGCACCTCTGTATTCAACACGACATGCTCCCACTGACACCATTTACACCCCAGCCATTCTCTTCATGAAGCCGCAGGATCATTTCAGGACGTGGACGGATTCCTGTGATTTCTGTACTTTGCTTCAAGCTTTTTTCACCTCACACTAACACTTGAGATGACCGTCAACATGTGGCTCACCAGATAGTGCGCACGTTAGGCTTAGATCTGTACAGTCTCTGACACGTAGGGATGCCGCTGAGCAATGGAATGTGTTTCATATAAGCACAGGAGGTTGAAAGGTTGCAATGTAATGTACACTTTGTCTCCAAAGTCATGCACGTTTGAATGCACATCCACCGCTTTGACAGAGAACAACGTCAAAGTTTTAGGCATTCATGCATTTGGCAACTATTTTTTTGATGATTTGTTGCTTTAAGGAAAACTGGCAAAAGCACTTTGTGGTGGATGCTGTCTGAATGTAGAAGCATGGCCAGCAGTCGCACAGAAATTAAATCACTGGGATTCAAAATGCAGCATTTGTTGTTGACAGAAACAGAGCACGTGAAAATGTGGATTCATCTTGAACAAACGTTAGAACAGTTAATGAGGAAATGCATGTTAATAAATGACAAACATAAATGCACAAACGACATCAAGACCTTTGGATGAGCTCTTACTGCTGATGGATGCTCTGCTGTTAATATGTAATGTAAAAAAAGCATTAGAACAGATTCAGTTTGTTGGCAAATGATATGAAGGGGAAAAAACCCCAAAGTTGACTGGATGAACTGCACAGCCATGAAACAGCATGAGAATTACTAATGTCCGTACAAAACAGTAAATGAGTTGAAAAATTCTGTATAGGAAATAAATTCACCGACAATCTTGTAAAAGCACCAGCAGAAACCACTGAAGTCCTAATAAAAATACAGTAAAAACAAAACAAACTGTTGCCTCAGCTTTTTGTTATTGACATTTTTTTTTTTTTTGCACGACTCACGCGTTTTGCCAACTTGAACTTGATCACTACACACGAGTACAAATGTAACCGATATGACGACTAAAACACCTTTGCTGCAGTTTTGTATTTGAAAAGGCAAGTTCCGTCCAGCATGTTTGTTCGTGTGGGTCACCAGTTGGGGCACAGGTTCAAAATGGGCCAGCTGTATGGCTCACAAGTTGCCCACTTTTCAGAATGTGGGTGTAGGGAGGTGGGGGTGTTGCACGGGTCTAAAGGAAATCCACAAAGGCTGACTGGGTTGATATGTTTACATTCAGTTTTTCAAATATCGCCTTCGAACCTAAACATCCCGCACCTGCTCAACCACCCTTCTGTACATGCACACAACGGTACCGTAGTGTAACGATTCTGAATAAAGCACTGAATTAAAAAAGAAAATGGTCCATAATAACATTGACGTGCAGTACTGTGAAATCAGGCAGCTGCAAAGTATTTATACTTTCACATTTGGAAGCTTTTAAATATATACATATATATATGCAGTATACATATATATATGATTGCAGAAACCGAAATGACACGTATCGCGTTACCTGCCTTTGGCTTCTGTCTCTTCTTCGCAGTCCAGATATTTTCTGCTGAAGCGTCCAATCAGATCCCTCCCCTGATGGTACTGCTTTAGAAGAGTCTCAGCTTTGAGGTCACCATTATTTCTGAACAAATCCCTCACTCCCTTTGCAAAACTGCTGACCCAGATTTTCAAGAAACAGCCCATCATGCTTCACTGTGGCCTGTAGACAGTGATTATTCTCCCTGGAAGCCCAGACTATCATCTCCTGCAGAATAATATGTTTAATTTGACTGATCTACCAGTCGATCTTTTCTGGTCCCAAAATCATATCACTCATGTTATGTTGCACGGCCTCTAGGTTTAACTTCACAGATGTGAGGAAATTGTTTGAATGATTATAATCTCAAAAAAAAAAAAAAAAAAAAATCTCTGTCCACTCACAAAAAAAGGTGAAATTTGTCAAAGAACTCTTACTGCCATTTTAAACATCTGCCTAACTCTTCGACAGAGAACTGCAGGTTTTAAGGAAAAACAATATTCAGATATGTTGAACATAAACATCTGGTGTCTATATAATTCGTGTTATGAAATCATGGATATGTAAGGCTGAGATTTGTGCTTCGTGAAGATGTGCTTCGTTTAGAAAAACATAAGAAAATGCTGTTGAACTGCAGGTGGAGAGGGAGTTTGACAAACTCATACACTTATCCGTCACAGCTACTTCTTCTTCACCTTCACACAGGGAACAAACTGTAGAAATATCAAGGGGAAAAATAAAATAAAAACAACAACAAGACCTGTGCACAGTGTTATGTCCACATCTTCCGTCCGTCGGTTTAAAACAGGTAACTGTGAAAGCTAAGTGCAGTTGTTTATGTAAGGCATATTTAAAAAGTTGACTGAACTCCTATGTCACTGCTCCATGGACGCCTTGTGTGGATAAATAAGGGATGTCTTTGTCTATATTCAATTTTTCCCTCTTCCATCCATTTGTCCCACGTAAAAATCCCAGAGGGGAAGAGCTGGAATATGACATCCAGGTTATAGGGTTGAACCAGAAGATTTTGGAAAGTCCCGAAGTCCTTACAGGCGTTAACCTGTCTTTCTCACCAGAAATGAAGACAGAGATGGTGCTACATTCAGAGGTCCAGGCTGAGGAGAGCAGCCAGGAGCAGCGAGAGGACGCTGAGAGACTGGGCCGACATCACACCTCCTCCTGATGGACAGACAGACACACAGGAGGTTGAACCTGTGACATGCTGTAGTTATGTGTTGGTTGACTGTTGGCTTTGATTACAGGACGACCAGCTCTGTGGGCCACGACAGAAATACTGAGACAGCAGAGACGTGACAATAGTTACTGTGATATTTTGATACTTTGTACTTTGGGACAAAACATACTCACTTTGTATCCATGTTGTTGCTAATGTAAAATTGCTACGTGCTGTGTCTTTATTCACGTCTAACTATAATCTAATTATACAGCTTACATATTGACCATAATACTAGTACTGCAGTACAAGCTGATGCAAAAGGTGGAAAAACACATTCATTATCAAGTTGTTACCACAAGTAACAGTGCGCTAACTGGTAGATTTAATTTTTGTTTTATTTAAATAGTTGAAGAACCAATGAGGACTTAAGGGCATGTTTGGTGCTAATGTACGTCTTCTTTGAACCTGTATTTCCACTGGTTGTGGCAAAAAAGTACTCTGAGAGACTGAGTATTTCTACAATTACGATGAGAGAAGCACAATCCTTGAAACCGCCCACTTCGGGCGAGCAACTGGATGTCAATAATAACTCTAATTTGGCCTTAAATAATTAATTACATTTATTTAAAAGAATATATTAACCCCACTTTTGTAATATTATTATACGGTGTACAGTATTTATACTGAACAAAAACTACTACTTTTTTGAGTAGTATAAAATGATATAAAATTACCCTGTTGATTTCTGGCTGTGGACATTTTTTTTATTATTATTCTGTATTTTCCACTGTCTCCTCTGAGGAGACAGGAAGCCACCGTGACCATGAGTTGGCTGGACGTGGCCTTTCGACTGGACCGTCAAAGGAGTTGCTGATTGAAAGCCGTGTTCCTTGTCCGTCAACCTCCCACTGATTGAACTAAAGACCAGATTTCTGTCTGAAGGCTCTTCTGTCCCATCAGTGCTGTGATCACCATAAATGCTCCTGCATTTGTCATTGCCCAGAATCTGAAATCCTCCACAGCTTAGATTTCCAAGGCTGTGAAATCAATCTGTTGAGATAGGTCTGAGGCTGAACGATAAGGGATATGAAAACCCACGGCAGGAGGGAGGCGGGGGAGGGTTTCCTCCTCTCATCAAGATCAATTACAGAAGCTTAAAGCGCTCCAATCACTCCATCAGTCACTGCGCTATCAAGACTTTGGTCACGAACGGCTGGCTTATTCCCGCTTAGCCCTCAAATTTAAGGTGGAATAACCTGGAGTGACAGCCCTGCTCTGGCCCATGGGAACCATCCGACCATGACCAATGATTACCTGCCACTAAGTTTGGTTTAATCCCACAGGCAAATAGCAGGCCAGGATTTAACTGTCAGGTTTTTGGCCTCAGCACTACGGAGAAATGTGACACCATTTTTTATATATATTTCTTATTCTGTTGATTCTTATTCTGTTCATTTTTAAAGGTGCACTTAATATTTTTTCAGGGGATGATATCCAGTCAGGAAAGTTTTGTGTTTATCCACATTTTTTTTGGACAATTCCTGTTGTATAAGATACAGGAACTGTCCACTGTCTTCTGATTCTCCTCTGCCTAAAACTTTTTCGGCTTTTATATTCTCCACTGTCTTCTGATTCTCCTCTGCCTGAAACAGGAAACATTTTCAAGCCTTTTTCGGCTTGTATATTTGGTAAATAAATATTAAGTATTTTCCTCGTTTACCTAGGAAAGTTTTTTCACCTGTGATGTGGATTCGTGCCACAGCTCCGTCTCCTCCTTCTGTGTGCGCTCGCACCTCCACAATATAGTTCCCATCTTGCGGCAGAGGAAGATCTATGTACCTCCTGCTGGTGGTGTACAGCGTGCCTGCGGTTTGGCCCTGCTGCCTGTACAGCACCTACACACGTACACATGTACACGTACGGACTGTCAACAAACGCAGATGAAAATGTGACATTTATAATTTCTGTTTCAAATCCACTCACTTTGTATCCATCTATAGGAGCCTCGTTATCCAGCGGCTCCACATTCTCCCAGGCAATATTTACAGAGTTGCCCTTTAGTTTTTTACCTATGATTTTTGGGGGTCGACTTGGAGCTGATGAAAGACACAAAAAACACAAATGTAGATGTGGACTGTGTTTTTTCAGAACAGACTCTGGAGGACGTTTTAAACATGACATACGTGGTTTCTTGGTGTGGATGTGGAGGTGTTCACTGGCCGGCCCGTATCCTGCCGAGTTGTAGCCTCTAACCTCGATGAGGTAATTGGAGTTGGGCTTCAATCCCTCCAGCCTGGTGTGGTTCTCCTTGCCAGACACCACCACCTTCTGAGCCCCACCCCCACCTTCTTCCTGACTCCTCCAGTACGTCACCTGACAGGATAAGGGTCAGAGGTTAAACAGAGCTACATCCAGAAACAACAGTGTGTTTTGTATATATATACTGTATATATATATATATATATACATACATATATACATATATACGCATAAATATATACATATATACACATATATATATACATATATACATACAGTATATATACACACACACACATATATATATGTGTGTGTGTGTGTGTACTTTTCTGCTGGCATCAGTGAAACTCTCTGCTGACCTGGTATCCATCAATATTGCCCTGTGGGAGGGTCAGCCACCACACGATGGCCTCTGTGGCGGAGAGGGGCTTGCCGGCCACGGCG